TTGTGCAGCACGCCCCTGGCCGCAGCTGGCGTGCCGTTGTGAAACGCGAATTTTACGAGGCCCGCGGATCCGACGTTCGCCGCGACGAATCGTATTATATAGTAAAAAGCCTGGCCCCCTTCTCCTCGGGCCGTCGGTCTCGCCCAATGTGTATGTGTGTGCGCATTCCTGGCCTCCCTTTCTCGCGGAAGGTAAGGGCTGCTTTCGGTTCGAAGAAACGCTCGTTCCGCGGGGCTGCAGAAGAACCATCGACTGGCGAATGAATTTCTCGCCTTGGCTCTTTTCCCTCCGGTCGCCAGTACGAAAAAAAAAATGGGTGGTGGGGGGAGGGGATCCTCGAGGTAGACAGAGATAGAGGGACAGAGAGGCCTTGGTTTCGCGGTGGAATGCAAATCGGGGAGACTGGTCACGAGTATTCTAATGCCCGGTTAGCCCTTAGCCGGACCATGGGACCAGAACGAACGTCACTCGCGGCCCTTTCCGTATCGGTTGACGCTATAAAGATACTCTTCGCGGGCTCTCGAGGCTTCTGCGGAACGTGCTGTTTCTGTTGTAACGACGTATGGGAGTTTAAACGAGCTCCCGATCCACACACGCGAAACGGGATGGACAGATTCGAGATAACCAGGCGGCGGCTGTACAAGAAGGTGCATCCAGGTAATTTGCACGTTTAAAAGACGATATATCGCGACAAATTTAGCACTCGCGTGTCCAACGCTACCATGGACCGTTCTGGTCCACTCGTTTTGTATGTTATACCCTCGTCGTTAGCACATCCCATGTGGAAACTATGTATTCACGCGAGGCCTAAGGAATAATCGTTAGAGAGGAAAAGTTCGTCCAACGAGCGGGAGAATTTACGTTCGTCGTTTTCCGAGTGGACGAGGAAACATTCCTTGGGTGAAATGAAAGGAAAATATCGTGCACGGATCTGGGATAGATTGCGATTCCACGGGCTGGCTCGATTCGCGTCTTCGAGGCTTCGGTCACGCTCGTATTTCAGTGGCGCAGGAAATAGGATTTCTTGTCGGGGTGCTCTCTGGTGCTCGAGGGGGAACCGGCAGACGAAGGTGAGAGACTTGTGGGGAGGGGGGGAGAAAAGAGTTCATCGTGGTGGTCGGGGTTCACATGATCGAACCCCTGGATAACCTCGAAGAAAATTCTGCGAGGCGAGAAGAGAGAGATGAGATATAAGATAGAGCTGAATCGTGGGGCCTCCTGGATCCGAGGGTAGTGTAAAGTTCACGGAAGAAATGCGTGTGATACGTGGAAGAAGGACCGCGAAGAAATGAACATTCCCAAGTTGTCCTGGGAATTTCGCTTTATATTGGAAAAAGGAAGATTCCTGATTTTTCTTTCTAGATGTTCGACCTTTCTCGCTACTATCTTCCATGACACCTGTTCTCAGAAGTATCGTGATCGGTGGTAGTCGCGTTTTCTTCAGGTGGGCGTAATCTTCAGCGACACGAAGAGGAACGAGGCTCTGCTCTCGAGAGGACTCGGTGAAAATTATGCGTAACGGGATTAACGATGTTTCAGAAACGTTTTACCATTGAATTCGCAGATGGGATTCCGTCTTGTCGTTGTACATTTCTCGGGGCCCCGTTAGTTCGTAAATAACGCTGACGTCAAAGTGTAAATCGTTCGACGCTGCTTTGAATCTCGAGATCTCTGAAGGATATCTGATTTTTTATTGATTTCTTTTTTTGTTCGAATGGACATTGATGGTCGAAGTGTCCGGAATAAGTCGTTGTACTCGGTCATTTAGAAGCCTCTCTGTACTTCAGCATCTGTGTCGAAGAGAATGTAATGACGGGAAAGCATACACTGTCGGGAATAAGTATTGGGACACCTGCTGAATGTGCACGCAATGTGATATTTGTTACAGATTGAACACTTTTCAATGCTTTTATTTTCTGGTTTTGATTAAAATACATGTCCAACTGTATTGACCATATAGGTGGTCAATTTGTGAATTTGCAAAAATTATGCACTGGCCACCACAATTCCCCGATCGAAGTCCCATAGAGAAAATCTGTGATGGACTGAAACGTAGAGTATGAGGAATAGGACAAATATGAAACGTAGATTTGGGGAAGCAGTTCGGGGAAACAAAATACCTAAGTAAAAATTCAATTTTCAATAAAATACTACATACAGCAATATTGGTTAAGAGTTCTTCGATAAACGTGCAACGTTTTCCCGCTATTATTCCATACAGAGTGGATGTTCTAATGGCAGGGTTGGCTACAATTTTATTCGAATAATACATTAAACGAGTGTTCGTCGACCACGTAGAATTGCATCGACGATCGATCCCGTCGATCGCACACCTCCCCCCGAACAATCTTCTGAATGTGTTCCCAAAGTATTCGTAATCATCGAGGAATCCCTTCAATCGGTGTACACTTTACGACTCCTTTTCTGGGAGGATAATCGTCGGGTCTGTCGAGAGTGAAACCACGCGGGAGAAAGAGAGAAAGCACGCGCAAACCACTTTCGATTCGATACGCGGGCCGCGTATGTGCGTGCGTGTCTGCCTCCTGCGATCGGTAAATACAGTTCGGTAGCGCTTGATCCCGGATAGAGATCCTCCGGATCCACGGGTGGAACAAAGAGCAGGGGGACAAAGGACGAAAATTGACAATATAAAGTTAGGAACGAGCGCGAGCGTATTCGACCGACTGATTTACGACCGATTAAATTATAACGATAAATCGTTCGATCGGGGGCCCCTCGTTAATCGTAATCCAACGAGCGGCCGAGTAATTCACGGGGATCGTTTATTTTTTGTTTTCTTTTTTTTAACGATCCCGCGGGATACGAAGCGCCGGCGCGGCGGTACCTTTGAAAATCTCACGGAGCCAGTCCGAGACGAGCGGTCGGTTAAGTGTAATTTGTACAGGATCTCTGAAGAGGTGAGAGAAGTTCGCGGTCAAGGCTCCTCCGTTCAAGTCATTGACATCGGCTTGCTAGCACGAACAGAGTGATGTTGCCCATTACATCGGACGGCCAATAAAACGCTCGAGAAATTCGTCGTGCAATCGTCGCATTGTCGCTCCTGAATACCTCGCGTTCCCCACCCCCTTTTCTTCCTTTTATACATCCATTCGCAGTCGAACGAAATCTATTGTTCGATCGGATGGATTTCGTTGCACCTGTTGATTTTTTTTTTTATGGGAGGTAACACGTAAATCGTTTCTTTTCTTCCGTAGACGTCGATTGTTTGAAATACAAAAACAGTTGCATGTATGAGTGGACGGGGTTCTTGAAGAAGAGACAACGAGAGAGAACGCATAGAAATGGTAAAAATTCTGCAGCAGAAATTCCACGTAACCATTTTATATCTGTGACAAAAATATTCTTGCGATCGTTATCGTTACAAAAGTAGATCGTTGTTGCTCTAGAACAGGGCTTCTTAAATTGTGGGATGTAACAGAATTTATGAAAATGTGTTTGAACCTTAAAGGGTAACAAAATAAGTTTAAAAAAAAGTTTTTTTAAACTTATAATGTCAGTCTTATAATTTTCAAATAACGATTTAACGGTCTTGGCGTTACAGGGTTACGAAACCCTGTTCTAGAACGTTCCTTGTACCTTGCAAACTTGTTAGGCACCTGGAGAGGAGCCGTGACAAGACGCTGATCGTTTCTCGAAACGTAGATAAAGGTAACGGCACCATGTCTCGCAGGATTCGTTTAGTAATGACGTTATCGGCGCGAAACGCGGCGCCACGATGACTCCATTTTAATACAAGCGAGTGTAGTTCGTTTCTTTTTTCTTCCGCCGAAACGAGCTACGGCTCCCGGCCTGCCAGACGAAATCTATTATCTCCGATGACTGTTCCTTTTTTTCCGAACGGTTTCTGCGAATGTCGCCGCGGAGAACGTCCACCGGCGACGGGACATTTCTTCGCGTACCCACATCGTCATCCCGCGGGGTGCATCGTCACCGTGTGCTCGTTACTCTTATTATTCCTCCGGCCATCTGTCGCGGGGCGCGCAAGAGATATCGATCGTTACGTTGCTATCTTGGACGTGTCACGCGCTACGTTTCGACTACCTCAAAGACCGGAAGCGATTACGAGGCGTCAAATTGCTAATGCTTGTGTTACGTGGCCGATGTCCCGATCGGACGGAACGATCGGCGATTCCCGTCGCGTGTACCGATTGTTAATCCTTTCCCGATGCCTGAACGACTTCTGGTTTCCATGTGTTATTTTCAAACGGACACATCCCCTTTAGATCGATCTGTTTCGTAATCGTTGATCCTCGAACCGGTTGATTTTACAAGAAAATCGAAAGGTTTTATAGTAATGCCTTGTGTTACGATTCCATTTCAACGGAGTGAACGGAACACTTAAGGGCGTTCTGACGATCCTGCCGAAAATCGTATAGCTGCGCTTAGTATTCCAAGTACCGGTGTGGCATCGTGTACATCTTTAGACAATGTCACGACGGCAGGTAGAAACGAACCGGTGTGTTATGCCTCTGTATTGCCCAGGGGTCCACGGTGCCCCACCATTAGCTATGCGCGACGCGGACGCGTCACTTCCTCCGGATCGACTTCCGGCCGCCGGAAACGTCCTTCTAACCGCGGCTGAATCCTTAAATGAAGACGATCTCTGACAAGGCCTTTCTCCTTCTCGCGACGTACAAACCCACCGAGGCGACGACTTCGATGTGTACACCACAATCGACGTGCAAACCGGGCGGGGAATTTTAAAACGATGCTTCTCAGAAGCTAATTTCTGCGTTATGCGCAACCATACAAAGTGATCCTTGTCTCGCGATCTGAAATGAATAATATACCTGGGTAACACGAGCACGGGATACTCGATTGCGTTAAAAATACCAAGCGATTTTATCCACGTGATTGGATCTCAGGTTGGACCAGGTTTTGTGTCTGCCATTTTCTTTCTCTCTTCCTCCCTTCTGCCCCTCCCCACTCGTGTTAACAAGCGAATACACGGAGAAGAGTATATTTTCGATTGATTACAGTAATCGATACGGATTAACCAACGAGGATCTGAACAGACGTTGGAGCAACCCGAACCAGGTGCTGCATCCGGTGATCTACCACACGAAGGGACTGATGGAGTACTGCACGAGGGTGCTGCAACGACCTCCCCATGTTTTCGTCGACTACCACGGCCATTCACGGAGGAAGAACGTGTTTCTCTTTGGTTGCTCAAGGTCGGGTTCTTGGAGCGCCGCGGACAGGGCGAAACCGGACCAGCCGGTGCAGTATTTGGTAAGGGGACGAAAGAGGAGATCGGCTAGGGGATTATTTTTAGATCGTGTATTATACGGCGTTACGCGTGCATCGGTCATGAACCTCGGTGATCTAGCGCGATCTATAGAACACGATTTACGATCGAGCGCGGATTTCTTGAGGCTGGGATGGTAGGTAGCTCGGCGAACACACGTTCCGAGTCGGTAATTTACAGCGGATGCGATCTCCCGTTGATTCGGGTGTTCTGCTTCTACCTTTCGATTCTTAACATTTGAATGACAGTCAATGTATCGTTTACACTTTTGCGTTTCAGCACGAAGAAGACGCGTGCAACGCCTCGGAAATGTTTAGGTTATCAATCAGTCGACAAAGTACCTATAGTCTGGGTGAAAGTTGTTATCCTTGCTACCGCAGTTCGCTGTCAAAGGGCTGGACACTTCGTAATCGCATAGATATTTGAACTACAGTTTCTTCTACTTTCGAAAAACTTTGATAAGGATTTCGGATCAGAGTCTGATCGTTTCGATATTCAGGGAGGATTAACCCTCGGACACCACACTCGTGCGAATTCCCAACAGCGACACGTTGTTTCCTCTTACTGGCCCAGAGTAAAAACTTCGTGGATCATATGCTTGTTTAGCTCGAACAATAAAAAATGTTGAAACTCATTTACGTAGAATGGTAGCGAAATGAATAAAATTTTTATCAATGTTTTCAACATCTTCGTGAAAGCTTGAATTTGGTGGTTCGCTGCAATATTATTCATCTGGGATTAAAGCAAAGACGGGAGATCGCGGTTGTTGTTCGAGCCTCGCGGTGATGCATCCTGCGCTTTTCAGATGTTGCCGCACCTCATGCAAAGGATATCCCCGGCGTTCGCGTTGCCACTGTGCTCGTTCAAGGTCGAGAGGAACAAGGAGTCCACCGCGAGGGTAGCCATATGGCGGCAGCTTGGTGTCTCGAGGTACGCATACGATTCCAACGATCCCGCGGCTTCACGCGGCGCGGTGATTTAACTTCCTTCCGCTCTGACAACTATTCGTTTCTTTTTTTGTTCCCCTCGATTCACACGCAGAAGCTACACGATGGAGAGCAGCTTCTGCGGATGCGATCAGGGAGCGTTGGCCGGTCTGCATCTCGACACGAAACACTTGAAGGCGATCGGTCAAGACTTCTGCCAGGCTTTGTCGATGATGAACGAGTGCGGCAATGACTGGAGCATCGACAAGTACGTTCGCCGATGACGTAATTATACTTGCCGTGAATTACAGGGTAACTTAGGGGAGAGTTACAGTTTTATTCGATAGTTCAGTACAGGGATTATTAATACACATCAATGTCGTGTGTTCCCGAACGTAGTCCAGTGGAGGAATCCTGCTGTCCACGGAAATGCGGTTTCCTGAACACGAAAAAGATTCTGAAATGTATTCAGGACAGACCCGCGGTCTACCATCTAGCCGCGATTCCTTAGCAAACGAATAAATAGACGATTTAAGGCAAGGTCGACTTACTTTTGCACGTGAAACTTGGTAACATTGTTTCCTAGTTACACTACTAACATACGGGTGTTGTTATATACGTTCGTTTGCTAAAGACTAATGCAACATTAACAGTGGCTTATAATCAGACAACACTGACTAACCGTTACTAATCCTTATTATTATGTTTATCTTTGCGAAAGAATTTCTTGGGCTGAATCTTAACCGTCTACTCAAATATCGTTGAAATCTTCGAATTCCTCTCGTTATGTTTGATGAGATTGTTAATAATTCCAGTAGTAAGCCTTGTAATATCATACCTTTTTTTTTTTAGGATCCCAATGGGAGAAGGCATTCCCGAGGAGTCAGGCTGTATGGAGGATGACATATCGTCCAGCTGCGAATCCGACGAGTCCGATTGCGAAACATAGAAAGACAATGCATCTTGGCGAGCGCCGCCGGGTATAAACAACGATCTCCCTGCCCCCGAAAATTTCATTCTGCCTGGGTGTAATTCAGTGCGTTTCTTGTACTCACCGGCGCGGAAGACTGTGTGCAGGTTTTGGTTCCCTCTCCCCCGAAATAAAAGTACAACGAATCTTCTGTACACTTTGAAGAATTTTTATTTAAAACTTCGTAACAAATGTCAAGCTAATCCTACCGGAGATATTTATCCTACCTAGAACCGAAGCTCCGTTTGTATACACTTCGAAAATGAATTCGCGTCACGTGCTTGTTTAAGTCTTCTCCTCGCATTATTCTTTTTCGTAAAATTGGAACTTCTATTGAATTTGAGCATATCGGACGCGCGAGAAATTTACGGCGGTGACCGACATAAAGGTAACCAGGAAACCAGAATTTGAGAACTTCGCGTGCAAAGAATTTCATCGGTTGGACAATAAAAAAGTAATTAGACTGTAAAGATAGGAATCCAGATTAAACGACGCAGACAACCAAATAGAAGACTCTGAGAAACTATCCATTCGTGCTTGCAATAATTTAAATGGTTTAAGGAAAATTACGGTTATTGCAACGTTATTAAGACAAATTCGTCCGTAGTTCGCAGTCACATGAAACTCGTACACGTAATATTACAGTTGCAATAAGTGGAATCCGGTGAAAAAATCGGAGAAGCATACACACGTCTCGCTGTCGCACGCGTTACAATTAATTCTTAATTAAGTCAGTCTTCTACTAGGTCGTTGATGCACACGATCGCTACGTTTTCGTCACGAAGTTTGCCAAATTCGGTTCGTGTTGATGCGCTCACCTTTAATGCAAGCTGTTTTTTACAAGCGATAACTTACAGTGGCCGGTGCAAGTGATACAATTTCAGACTTGGTAGAATCGAAATAACTTGAAAAAACGGCGATAATTTGTATAGCAATCGACGGTTCGATTTTTCGTACGGGCGTGCAAGAAATCTAACGTAGAGTAGAGAAAACTATAAAAAAAGTGAACGCAGAGAAGCTATGGTGGTAATAAAGATGGCACGAGTACAATTCGTCGAATCGCGACGACCGAAATAATTAAAAGGTTTTTCCTGTGTCGTTTAAAATACGTGTAAAATTCAAGTGTACGGTACAAATATTCAGTCGATCCGTCACGTGGATCTTCGAGGGCGTGATAAAGGATAGTTCGGTCTACGATCTCTATTCTAATACGTTCTATCACGTTAAATTCCATTAAGCGAGCATCCTATATAGAATTCTACTAGGTTTAATTAATCCCTTTTTTGCTTTTTGTACGTCTTGAAACTGTGTCAATTCGAAAGGAAACGAAAAAAATGAAACTGGTAATATGTTGTGTGCTTTCATAGAATTAACAAGACTTATTCGATGTGCGCGATACACAGAGAGAATATGTTTTCCAAAACAATATCGTCTCTATTTAAAAACTGGAGGCAGTTGAATTTATTCACGGTCGACGAGAACTTTGTCTACGAGGATCGTACTAAGTGACCAATAAATTAGTAACGATCAATACTGTCCGGTATTCGATATTATTTCACAAAAAGCATCTAAACGATACGAGAAAGCAAGAGATTAAAAGACCCTTGTCGAGAGAGTGCGAATCGATAGAAAGACGACACGGTCGGCTTAATAAGATAAGAATTGCTCTTTAATGTGAAACACGTACATCAGTAGACTGGTATAACATAGCCATAAAAACGGACTACATGTCCTCGATCGAAATCCGATAAAAATTGTGCCCTGTGTAACGTTTAATTGACCCGAAACGATAGACTGCGAATAATCCGTCCGTGAGTTAAAATCTAACCACGATTACGACGAAACACGAAAATTATTCCCGACGTTCCCGCGTAACTTAACGAATCGATTACAAGTTGAATAAATCAGCGAAGGATCCTCGTTAGCTCGACGGCTGCAGTAAACCTCGAGGAATTAGATCGGAGTCTAAAAAGCGAAAATCATCGGAACACGATACGCGTTGTAGCTTCTTTTTTTCATTTCATCTCTTAAACAGACCCCGCTAACACGTCGAAACAAATTGCTGAAACCTTATTGTCTGTCTGGCGTTTCATCGTATTATTAATTATTATTATATATGCTATCCATCGGGAAACCATTTTCCATATCTCCTTCCTATTGTCTACGAGCGTTGTCTCTAAAGCTGACATTACGTAGTCAAATATGTTTCGCTATGGATTATCGAGAGATTCCTAAAGATACCTTCGATCGTACGTGCACTCTGCGAGTAGAGACCATGAATGAAAGAACATTTATAATTCTCTTCTTTTCTTTTTTTCTTTTTCAAATCAATTATTCAAGCCGAATGTAGAACAGCCTATGTCCGATAGTTCAATCGCGCGATAGAGAATTTTGGACGGACAAATTCGTTCCGTTGTCGATGCCGAATACATAGTCGAGAGAGTTTTGATTATCGTTTGATAGAGTGCACGCGCGGTCATGTCTACGGGGAAAGAAAGTAAAGGGTATACAACGACGAATGGGAGAATCGACTGCCGTCGCTTGCAACGAAACTACGGACACCGAAAGGATAACATTTTTGTGCTTAGATCATTTTGTATGTAAATTGAGGTCGATATTGCGAAGAGGGAAAAACAAAGTATCTCTAAGTCTAGTTCAGATCTAGCTTTTCATCGGAGGATTATGCACCCTCTACGTACGCATAGGCACTTTACTGTAGTTTCTGACCTAATTTCAACATTAGTTAAAAAGCAATAGTATAACGTTCAATGAATCGATAACATGCATTCTCATAAATATCGTAAAAAAAAAAAAAATGGTTCGATCGAATCAGCAAACGACGGCAGGCTAGAGAGGTTCTATCGCGAACGACGAAATATCTAAGTAATACTTGGACATTCTCCCATCCCTAAGCTACACGATTCAAGTACAGATCACGAAGCTGCGGTTGTGTTGGATATACGGTTGTACGCGCGTGAATCGACAGGTGCGTCGTACGATCGACGGAGGTGCAATCCAACGGAGTAGGGGATTCACTGGCGGTCGTTCATATTTCTCGCGTAGATCTTGAACTGCTCGTAGGTGATCCATAGAACGATGTTCCAGGACACCAGGCGAGTGAAGCTCGGCACGAAGCCTTTGTAGAAAGCGGCGGGACCTTCCTTCCTGAACATACGAACGGCGCAATCCTTCACACCTTTGTACTCGCCGGTGGGGCTGTTCATGTAACGCGTCTTCACCACGTCCACGGGACTTGCGGCCAATGTGGTGCACAGTCCAGCCGCCACGGCGGCGCTCAAGTGGCATGGTATACCGTCCCGAAGATAGCCGGACTCCAGGATGAAGTCCTTGATGATGTCGTAGCAAACGATCTCCGCCACGTTCACGATCGCGTTCCTCGAGATGTTCGGAATCGTTCCTGCGCGAGAAAGAAAAAGGTTACTCCGTCTGGTCTTTTGTGTAGAGTTTACACATTGTCCATACGCCTGGTAGAAAGTTGTTGAACATTATTTGAACAACAATTTCTTTAACATTCGAATAATCTCGACACGAATAAAAGATTCTTAATTTCCTTTTAGGTATGCAAACCTAGGGTATACCGTTAGTCACTTTTGGACGTTGGCTTGAATCGTCGTAGGGCCTATCGGATAACTTCCATCCAGCGATTATTTGCCCACCGATTTACTCATCACCGTGAAAACACGAACTTTAAAGTCCTTTGTCCATGTTCGACCATAACAGGCCGTATCACTAGGAGCTACGTTTCCTCTACTTTGTTCTTTTTAGCAATTTCATTTAAAATAGAACGAGGATCGTAACATCGGATAACGGGGGAACGAGTTAAGCGGTGCAACCGAAGTCCAGTAGGAGCTAGCAATTTACAATGATTTTTGCTCGCTTCTGGGCAACCCACGTGTTTCTGCATGCGAATGGTGAATTAGTAAATGTAATCAAGAGCGTATATGTATACCTTTCCAAAGACCTCGTGTCCCTTCCTCGGCAGCGATATTCTTGTACGCCTGGAGGGTCGAGCTGTATCTCACCGATGTTCCTCCTTTACCACTGGCCTGTAGGCGCACCTTGACGACATCGGTCGGCTGAGCAAGGAGCACCGCCAGCGCTCCTGTCGTGATTCCAGCGGCGATCCTTACGGAGACACTCTTCGCTCCGCTCCCTTTATTACCTGCTGCGAGAAAAGTCCACGGTGAAAACAGGGACCGTCGTGGAGGGGTGTGTGTTATCTTGTGTTTTTAATCGAAATACGATTTACTATATATTTTTTCTTTTGTTCTTTCGAAGTTGTAAGTGGGGGGATGGAGGATAGGACGGAAGTATCGCGCGCTGTGCGCGGTTAAAAATGTTTATTAGCTCGTTCATTAATTTTTCCTGAATACAGCCAATAATTGCTGTCTAAAAAGAGATAAGTTCAGGACGCGTAATATTTTTTTCGAGAATTGCTGTACCCGCGATCCATGAGAAGAAATCGTGGAAACAGAGTAAATTGTTCGAAAGCAATTGCATCTGGATTATGGTACTGATCCTTTGTCAGGGATCGCGAGTACTTCGCGGTACCATTGATTTATAAAAATCTTGATGAATACTCGATGCAAGTACGCGAGATTAGAACACTCGACTCGTCGAGGTAGTCAGTTGCAATGCTATCGACAAGTCGCGAAACGAGGGGGTCACAACATGTAACAAAGACCGGACAAGAAACGCGAAATACGCGGTACGATTGGTTTCTAGATCTTTCTTTCTTCCGTACACCACTAGATTCGCGAGTAATCGTCAGTGACACCGCGTTAAAACTGTATTAATTCGTATACAGACGAAACCACGATTATTTCTTTAAACTCGGTAACAGATCTGAAACTAGAATCTTTCAAATTCGTCCAGTAATCGTATCCAATCCTCCAAAGATTGAATCGCTAATAAAGACAAAAAATCGACAATAAAAGAACCACTTCTCTCACCCTCTTGCTTTTCCCCTTTCGACACTCGATTTTTTCGATCGTTCGAAACTATGGCTAGAAAACTGACCAGAGAGGAACGAAAACGAGACTGGTATAAATTTAAAAAAAAAAAAAAAAAAAATAAAAAAATATCCGAGTAAAACGAAAAAGAGCGTGTCTCGATCCGCGGCGAAGACATAGCTCGACGGGGGGTAGCTTCGGGGGAAACGAGCCTGCCCCCCTCCTCCTCGTCGAGAACGCTGGTGATATTATTCGACCCACCAGCCCAATTACTTACGCGTCTGTGTATGCACATACTGATTCAGTATAACAGAGAGATGGACGTGCGCGGGCGTGTGACTCTGTGCGTGTTCCCGCCACACGCGTGTCTCTACTCGGTTATATCGTAAAAAGGATTACGCAATGAAAAAAGTTAGGAGGTTGTTGGATGTACCGTCGATGATTCCAGCGTAGCGTGACTTCACCCCGTCGTAGAGGCCCAACCGTATGCTGGCGAAACACATCTGTCTCTGGAGTCCCGCGGACAGACCTCCGTACAGGCTCCTGTAACCACCCTCGCTCAAGCTCACCGCCCTCACAATTCACCCTCAAACGTATCCCAGGGTAGTATATTTTTTTTTTTTTGTTTTTTGTTTTTTGACTTTAACATTCGTTTCGATTTTCTCTCTATATATATCTTTCTCTCTCTCTCTCTCTCTCTCTCTGTCTTTCTATGTCTCTCTCACACTAAATTGCTCCCCTTTCTAGCTCGAAAAGATTATAACAGAAGGAACTCGACTAGCGTAGCATTTCTCTGTCCTTTCCCCGTCTCTCTCCCTTTTTCCTCGCGCGAGCGGAACTAGAGATATCGCAATATGGCTCCCGAGAGTTTTAGTTTGTCAGTTTCTACAAATAGCGTCTCTGAAACATCGGAGGAGCACGAGAAAGGAGCACACTGAGGTAATTTTTTTTTTTTTTTTTTTTTTTTTTTTTACTTATTTTTGAGTTAACCGGGAGAGAGCTTGCGCCGAGAGAGCTGGACACGTGTTACGATATATGTATTGTACGTGTTATTATATCGTATTCGCGGGCGAAAGCGCAAAAACCAAGGAATGCACTGTGCCCAGCGGCAGATCGGTTAATTAAAGTAGAGGCGAGATCGTGGCTGAGCAAAGACAAAATAAACAGAGAAAATAAGCAGAGAAAATTAAGAATCGAACGGAAAAACAAACGGTTCCCTGGGCAGCGGGGAGACGTTTCTAACGGCCGCCGTGGTGCGTTTCCCTTTTTAGACGAAATTTTTCGACATTATTCACGTACAGATTTTTCGTATTTTTAATCGCGAGATAAATGAGGTTTCTGTTTATCAGCGACGACGTGAAAAGCGAGGGAAAGGTACCACGGGCACGAGAGAGAAAAGAAATAATAAGATTGACAGAAGGAGTGCCATAGACGTATTCGTTTATTGGAACAGAAGCTGTTCACGTGGGCGATAACGTGTTACATAACGACCAGCGATGGGATTAAACGTATCGCGAGTAAGATAAAAAAGAATAAGCTAGATACAAAGATTCTTTCTCGTTTCTATCCAGTGATAATTGTCTTTGAAGTTAAGACCATGTATCGTTCGATGAAGCATTATATTTTACTCGAAACTTCATAATACCAGTACTGCGGATTTTATGCAATTACAGCCTCTAGGGCTCTGTGAAATGCAATAAAAAATGAAACTTTCATTGAATGAAACGAGTTTTTCATTTTATTCTCAATCCAATACGATATTTAAGAGGCGAAAGAAATTACTATATTTGCTTTTATCTGTATAAATTACTTTAGAAAATGTCATTTTGCATAAAGATCCGCAGTCTACATATTATAATACGATACGAGTTTCACATGTAATTCTATCAAAGTATATTTATATTGAACAGATCGATGCTATCGTCAACGTAATCCCATCACTATCGGTAATTGCTCGATTTGGCTCAACAGTCGATAGCACTCGAACCGAGGCTAACAAAGGGGTAATTAAGTAAAAAGCTTTGGTTAAAAGAATAAAGAATAATCGAGGAAGTAGTTGTGTCAGTTTGCGATAGCAAATTATCGGACTTGTACATCGCGATACCATTTTACCGCAATTATTACTGGCCCGATCGATCCCGTTCCGTCGTTCTCGATGCTTGATTCCAGCAAACGAACCTAATCGACGCGTGCAGATCGCTGGTTTTTCCAGCGACGAAGGTTACACCTTTCGTTCAAACACAGAACAAAGCGAGATACGTAAACGCGATTACACGGCCGAGCGCTGTCGCGACCCGCTCGCGTATAATTAGATCGTTTGTGGAGCACGACAGCGACGGAAGCTTCGACCGGCCCAGGATCAATTAGCCGAACAATAGAATCGTAAATATAAACATTCGTAATAGCACGGGCGAACGTTCGAATGAAAAATGGCGAAACCAAACACGGGGAATGCCAAAGACTTGTTTCAGAGAGAGTTAATATGTATATGCAGGTCTGATCGGACAGAGTATGTATTGCGGATTATTAACAAGAAACAGCCCTACGGATCTATATATCAGCCAGTGTATGGTAGTTTAAATTTAAAATCGTCGAATCGATAGAATCGTACGCAACGATCTATTGTACAATCGTATCTTTATCGTTTACCTACCCTTTGTTTTCCTATTCTTTTTTTTCTTTTTTTTTTTTGCTTTCTTAAATTACGGTTAGGATCGTGACTGACGTACCTTGCTCCTTCGAGTCTGACGATGTTCCCTACTGTCTTCCATAACCCCGGCTGATTTTGTTTCATTGCGAGCATCGAGCCGTCCGCCGATGCGAACAGAAGAGGGCGGCTTTCACCGGCAATCTACAAAATTACGAACGAGTTGTTGGGGGTGAATTTAAAAAGGTTGGGAAACTATGATTTCGATATTACAGCTGAACTGATTTTTCTTTATTGATACATGGCGATCAATTAGACGTTTGCTTAGTTACCTGCATTCTGACTTTCGCCGTGTCCAATGGAAACGTCGCCAAATCAGCGATGCAGGCCGCGGTGCCCGCAGTGAGAAACTTCACCCAAAGGGGGAAATCGTCCTGGGCCTGTTGCTTCATCGTGCTCAATCTCTTTTTTCCCTTTCTTTTCTTCTCTCTCTCTCGCTTATCGCGTTCGGTTGAACTGCTTTTGATACGTGCTTCTAGGTGGTGCGTGTGTCTGGATGCGTGTGGGGGGAGGGGGATAGGGGAGAAATAGTGCAAACTTTTCGTATTTCTCGACTCCTTTTTTAAATATCCCCGCGTGACTGTACGATCCCCCGGGTTTGCTCCAGCTTGTCCGAGCGAGATCCTTTTGTTAGAAAAGCGATATGTACACTATATACAGTGTCCTACCAGAGGACAGGAACCTTTAGATGATCATTTAGCAGACGGTTGATTTAGAGGTGGAGCTTTTTAGGTTCCCTGAAGTGATCAGGATACGCATGCAGTCCCCCCGACCGCGAGCACTCGTGTTTAATGTCTTGATTGTGAAGTACTTTATACATACTATTCTTCTGTGAACAGAACCGAAATAGGCGTTAATTTCCGTTCAACGTTGCTATAGATTTTGTCATGCATACGTTGTGTGTTAAAATTGAACGAACAAAAGAAGGTGGGGACGTGTCTAGGAGAAAGGCCAGGAGTCATGAATCGGTACAGGAGCACAAAATAAAGAAACTATAGAAGAAAAATAGAATTAAAGAAGAATTAGAAAAAAAAAAGAATACCAAATTACACCTGGATAGCTCGATAATCAAAGTTCAATGACCCAGTGACGCGATATATATGTATATATATCAATCACTCGGCAGAAACGAACACTTTACTGTTATCGGAGTACGAACACGTAGATTATCGCGAAACACGGCCGCCCGAGTGGTGTCGTAATTCCGTGTGGCCGTCGAATTGTTTCGTCTACGACGATTATTACGACGCTCGATAAAAAAGAAGACGAAATTCTCTCGTTCGATTTCTCTGTACACTAGCTGCACACGAGGATGCAACCGTTGCACCGATGTCTCTGACGTTTCGCGAAGATGCACACGCGTGGGCAGTCGAACTCGGGTTCGGGCACAGAAGCGAAAATAGAACGGATAGAAAAATATTGGAGGACAGCCAGTGAAGGGGATGCCCAAAGTGAAACACGTTATCTTATCCTATATAGCCGTAGTTGTTCCGAATGGAAAAACCACTTGAACCGATTATCTCGCCCGAATTGAACCGCGGGCACGTGTCAAATAGACATTAACACTCGCGCCGGTTCACGGTTCTTCCGGTTGCTTATCATTTTTCCGAGTATGTGCATACCCAATGGGAGACACACTCGACTGGATCGTGCTCCGAAATGTTCGAGCGAGGTTATATTCGTAGCCGTGTCGCGGCCGTGAGGCTATTTTCGTTGAAGCAGAAGACGATGAAAAATCGGCGACCAGCGAACGACACGAGAAGAAACCGACCGAAGATTTTGATCTTTCGACTTCTGCCCTGTCGAAGAACGGGAAGAACTCGAATGGCGAAACTCGAGAAGTACCGTTGTCTCAGAAGATTGGGACAAAGTCCGACTCCGGTTTCGATTCTTTGTGCCCGAACGAATTCCGGCTTCGCGTCGTTTTTACGACGTAAAATGTATATATGATCGTCGCTGGAGCCATTTCTATGTGGGCGTTCGCGATGCTTAACTTTTTCGAAACATTGAACTCTGGATGATGAACGAAAAATCACTCGTGTTTAATTTGTTAAATGGAATATCTTACTGTTTAGAGGAAAGATGTCTAGTCAACGGTGAAGAATTTATTAAATCCTCATTGTAGAATGTTTTGTTTCTATTGTCGTTCGAGAATGAAAGTTGAAATCGTAAACACTGAGAACCGTTTGCGGTACAACCTTCAACCGGTGTTTTCTATTATAAAGTTCAATTCTATCCACACTCTTGTCACCGATTTCCCCGGTGAAGAATGCGTAATGTCCCCGGCGCGTTGTTTCGCTGACGGATCATGGAGGACGGTCGGGAATAATGCGATCGATCGCGAAATTCAGCCATGCGCCTGCATCGCCGCATTCATTGTTCGTTGTCATATAGATGCAAATTTAAAGAAGCAACGTAATGGAAAGTGTAATAGGAAAAATATTATTCTTTCACCTTGATTAAATCACGGCCAATGACTCGTGGAATGATATCGTAAACGAGATTTATGGAGCATTTTATCCACCTTTCTAACAAACACCGATGAACCTTGACAAAGCGGAGATTTCCTGAGATATCCTTGCGCACGAAGGAATACAGTCACCAGGAAAATGCCATATCGATTATCCTTGACGCGAACTAGCTGTATAATAAATACGCTGCCATCGTATGGTTTCGCATACCTTCGAACGCGACAAAGATCCATGGAAAAAAGACAAAATACAACTGTCTGTCAAATGTCTCTTTATTCCGGACAAGTGTTTTCCTCAACCATCTGGCCAAATGTTTATTGTCGATGCTTCTATCCCGGCGTTTCATCGTTGCCGAACACGTTACGATCAATTAGCTGTTTGTTTTTTCGTTTAGTCCCAAGTTTATCCTTGAACGATGACGAACACGACCGGGTTTTTCGTGGAAGTACACTAACATGCGACAGATGTGGTAAAGGGTCTCGTGTTATAACGACGAATCGATATAGCCGGTTCGACAGTTCGCGCATATGCACTGCAGGAACGGACTGCGGACTGAGGTAGCAAGCAAAAAAAACCGCTCGGCTGACATGTTGAAATTTTAATTCGCTTGGGTTCTCGTGCGTCATTGGACGCGAGAATTCCACGTAAATTATACTCTCCGAAACAGTATCCGTTGAATCGAGGCTGTTCCATTATACAAGACTGGTGTAGAGTTCGACGACGAAACAGACAGGCAAATTCACGATATTGGCCTCACCGGAAGTAAGCAGCCTCAAACTCTCGACGTTCGATCCCGTCGTTAGTTTACCGATGGAATATTCAGGAATGACGAAAGGTGAAATTGAAATATCAACGGAGTCAGTATCGTCGTCTCGACGGAATGAATTATTTAAATGGGAAAGTTTATCTATGCGAAGTCAGGGTTGAATCTGCGAGAGTGTCTGACGCTAAAAGAAACTCCCGAGAGATTTAATGAACAAAGTCGATGCTCCGAAGTTGAATTTCGATGACTGCAAAATTATAAACTTTCGATTTATGTAAACGATAACAATTAATAACTGTAGAATGGAAGGGAAGATTTAAATAAAAATGAGAAAGGTAATGGAAGAGACGAACGAAATAGAAGAAAATACTGTTGAATTGAACGTAACGTACTTACCAAGTGTACAGTGAGTGGATAACAACACAACTGGAACAGGTTACCGTGAAAGCACCGTTTATACCGGCTCTCCGACCAATGGCGAGCAGCCACAGTTGAATTCTGCCTATCAGCGGCCGTCCCGTGACGTCAGTTTCAGCCAAAGAAAGCTCAGCTTGCGACTAGATCGATAAGTTTCAGGAATGTGGTGGTGTGATACCCCTTTAGCTGCAACGAGCATATACATTGATAGACGCGCACACCAAGGGGTGCAGGCGCATAACGCTTGCCACCGTTTTCGGAGGGGAGGGTTACCCGTTGCGGAATGTACGCCCCTGGATCATTGGGAACCACCGTGGCTCCTTGTGGAAATTTGTTTTCCTGCATACGCTGCCACCTTTAACGCGAACGCGTGGGTGGCTACGGTCAATTGTGTTCACTTTTATGGACGGAAAACGGGTGGAAGGATTCGAGGAAAGAGCTGTTCCTTTGAAGCCAAAAGATGGCTTACGAGGGGTTGACATATTTCACTTTGTATCAATTGACGAAATTGATCCAAATGGCGGACAAGAAATTTTTGTCGCGAACTGTATTTACCGCACGGTTCTGTCTTATTTCAATGTGTAAAGTAAACGAATGATAAAAGGTTGTTGAGTACCCTTCTTCGTGAGTTTTGTGGAATTAAGATTAGCTCGATAGATGCCACAGTTTGTCAAAATTACTCGAGAGGTTTTATGTTAACTAAATTCGACATCGGTATGAACGTAAACAGAGCTCCTTGTTTTATCAGCACAATAAGGATGACGTAGTATTTAGATTAATCGTATACACGTGTGTGTCTAATGAACGTTAAATAAAAGAGGAAGTGGTTCATCGAAGCGTGTAATTAGATATCTTTTGATAAAGTCGGAATTGATGTACTTTTGTTGGCCTTATATTCGTAAATATAATAGGAAGAAATAAACATTTGTATGATATATGACAAAGTATAAGGAAAAAAAAATTTGAAAAAAATTTGGCCCATGAGGGGATCGAACCCGCGACCTTCGCGTTATTAGCACGACGCTCTAACCAACTGAGCTAATGGGCCATATGGTACAAACTTTTATTTTTACTGTTTTCTTATCCAATATGAGCTACTTTCTTAAATATTTAATATTTGTTAACTAACAGTAACACATTAATAAATGAGTTAATTCAACACATACAGTACGTTTTATTATAATTTCTTTGATTAACCGTCCTTGTTTGTAAGTCATTGTATTGAACACGATTAATCGACAATAAATGAGTAATGCATGCCGTTTTATTTGAGAAGATAAAACTGTCTGAACTTTGTCTACGGTTTGGACTTTGACTATGTATAAGGAGAGTCAAATGGAGTTAATGTTACAGACAGCATCGATAGATACGTTATCAAGGACAATTTGTCACACGAATGATAAATAAAGAAATTATTCTGTTCCTCTTTCGTTTAGGGACTGTTAAGTAAGTTTACCTTCTACGGACAACAATGTGCACAGACGAGAATATATGAAAATGGAATTTTATGTAAAAAAATTGCTACTGTTCTCCAATAACATGCACAGAACGAAATGACATTGCAATGATATACAGTAATAAAAGTAATTGTAAATTCAATGTATGTACATACACATTCAATTGAATCACCGAAGATACCTCGTACATATTCATTAATGTCGATTCATTCCTTATCCGACGATGGTAAAGCAAGCACATATTTTTAAAAAATAAGATTCAATTACCGAAAAATTATTTTACAATAAATTAAGTATTTTCGATAATGTAATATTTATAACAATCACATCTTCGGTGACACATTCTATCAGTCATTTTACAATGCCGATTGTTAATAATTATAACAAATAGAAATCGAGATATGTCGAAGCTTGTAAGATCTGGATAGTGTTGAAAAAAATTCAGATTTCTTCGTGTTGTCATAAATTACTTTAGAAAATCTAATTTTGCACAAAAATCTACTGTCTATTCATATCATATTCATCCTTTAAACAGATACAGTGCATATATTTGTTACCGATAAATCATATTACATACATACCACAGACGAGATATATGAATAGACCTAACATGCAACGTAATTTTCTGTTCAATACCCGACGTTACGGATAAAGCATGAATTCTGATTATTATTAACACAAATGAAGTGATATATATTTCATTCATATTCCGTGTATCTATATGA